TGCTACACTATGTGTATAGTTTGTAAGCCGCAGACAACCTAAACTATCCCCTACAACCCTGCCATTTCCTCTATAAAGGCATTAATGTACCATAATTGTTGTTTTATGTAGCCAAATGTTCACAAGCACAAAGAACCTCGGTTTTTGCTCAAAATTAAATAAGTAAAAAGTCCATATGACCGTAGCTTGCCATTTATATAAAATGACGAAATGTAATATGATGCGAAGTTTCAAGATGGGGGATAGTTACAACATCAAATTAAATGATCACACATGCGTCCCCCCTCCAATGGAGCAAAAAGTTGGCAAAGAGCAAAACAATAACCACAAGATGTGAGATAAGCTCACATCTCCGCCAACTAAGATGAGCTAGTGAACATTGCATGATGATGGTGAAATTAAGGTATTTCGGACATATTAGAATTGCAAGGGAGTAAATAAATAAAGTGTGGGCCATGGTGAAAAGTCCGCCCTCCATTTAGTTATAATGGTTAGGGTTAGCCTGACCTAAATGGGTCAAAATCTAGGGCGAGGCTTACCTGTACAAATGAATGGGAAGCGGACTCTCTGTCAAAGGGGACTCTCTGTCACATTACACAGGGGCCAAAATACATTGTACCGACGCCCAGTGCTGAGAAACAAACTATCGTTGTTATGAAACGATTTTATCTAGACTAAAAGTTGGAGGAGAAAGAGATTTGACAGCACGACATTGTACACGAGTACTTGCGTCTGTGAAACACTTAATCACGTGTTGTGGAGTTCTCATAAACTTAATTACCAGTAGCTAGAAAATTTCCGAACAAAAAAACTTATTTAAGGGGCAGAGACACTTCAGCTATGAACAAACGCGGGATGTAGAAAATTGAAACAAACTTCTGGAAAGAAAAGAAAACGCATCTCAGGGTTAAACAGGTACCTGTTGTGTAAGCAAGGTACCGCGGGTGCAAGTATAAAGGTTAAACCAATCTCACAGGCTGACAGGTCCCAATAACAACATTGATAACTGATCTTTTCTTCGCTGCACAGTATTAAAAGTCAGATCGTCATCTGATAGTTTGCTACTGATGTGTGAAATTTTCTGAAACTTGGTTTAGTTGTTTAAAACACTCAGGTAGACGAGAAGAATGTAGTTTTGTTATTGTGACTGGCCCCTTAAACCTATTTAAGACATCATGTTTCTCAAGAACAACAATTTATTCCGCCTTGCGGTCAGTGAGTTACAACATTCACTGGCTGATCAATTTGAGGGCCTCCGATCAGGTTCGCCGAACGCTAACAATGACAACAAATCTAGCTTGTGCTCAATAAGCTTACTTTAGGTTATCCAACCAATAATGACCCCCTTTCGTTCGACAACATAAAAATAATAACGATAAAAGTAATAACAGATCAGCTGTAAATTAGCTATTTATAACCGTGGACCAGCTCCCTGGTATGCATCGTCTGAATAAGTTGTCTATCGTCCATATCATATTAGCTAGAGTATGTATGTAAATGTACCGGTGTAACAGGAATGGAAGTCCGCTAGGAACAGTAGTCCGGTTCCCATCACTTTTTACAGGTGAAATTCGTCCCATATACTAACCCCAATACTCCAACTAACTCTATAACCTGTACCAATCATATGGGAGCCCGGACTTCCCTTCCAGTAACACCCGTCTCCACAGGGAACACCTTGTTGAGACAGCGTGCATAATCCGTGGGTGTTTCTCAAATAACTTTGTCGTGCAAGGCTGTTGTGCATTATACGTTTTTGATAACCGGTTCTGCTTGAGATCACTTAGTTTGTGGTCATTGTGAGATCGCTCATTGTTAGATCAGGTGAAATGTCGTATGGCCAGTCATGGTTGAAAAGGCGCTAATGCTTTCATTTCGGGTCACTGTATCTTGTAGCAAAGGTCGCGTGCTACGCAGTGTCTGTGTACTAGCATATTGCACATATCTAGGATGTATTATGGATGGAAGTTTGTTTTCGCCTCATCTATGTATTCTATGACTTATAATGGATTTTACATGAGCTGGGGTGTGTTTAACGCTGCTTTTGCGAGGGATCCTGACTTGGGTGGTAGTCTTGCAGCAATTGGTAAATAACACCTGCCGCCAACATTATTATGCTTTCAAGGTTAATTAATTCATATGGCTTTTCTAAGTGTGATATAAAACCATATTCATATTTATTCCATAATTTCAGGTTTCATCCAAAGCATAATGTACGCTTCTGCTGCTTTTGGATGTTTATCCACGAAAGAAGTGTCAGTAATCAGCCCAAGATTAAAGGTTGTAACGTTCGCATCTGTACTGGTTCTAGGATTGGTTTTGTCATCTTTGGCGCCATCTGCGACATTTCTTCTTTTTACCCACGGCATCATGGTTGGGTTATCCATTACCATCACTGCGTTAGAAAATGTCTTCAGGATAGCGGACTGGTTCCCCTGGGATCACAGACACCATGTTCTGGCCACGAGTTTTAGCCGCCTTGTGATGGCTCCTGGCAAGTAATTTTCTTATTCTGTTTATCTGTTTCTGGGGAAAACGTTTTGCCTTTTTAATGTCTTGCGCACGTTGATTGTGTCTTAAGATTTTTGAAATAAAGGTTGTTAAGAGGCCTGTATGCAACACCATAAACATTTCCTAAGTAATGCACATTTCCACGTGTTTCCAATGTTGATATATTGAAATGGTAAATGACTAACATATTTTTGTAGATAAATTTAGATTGTTTTAATATATTAAGATCCAGTAAATGTACATGCAATCTGTTGTGCATTACACTAGAAATAAATATACAAGTACCTTCTACCGATGGAAAAGAAAGATAGAGAACTCAAGTTTTAAATGGTAATTGAATACGTAACTAAGTGAAGGTATAAAAAGAGATGAGGAATGAAGCTTGAGATTTTGAGTTGTGTGTAGCAGCTTGACAGCAGAGAACTACCTTACACATATAAAATACGTAGCGAAATTAAAGCCTGTCTCAACAACACCATCAGAGTCCAAAGAACCCGAGCAGTCAGCATGACTGATCTGATTATTACAAAGCATTGCATTTGATCATTTTCATAGATAGTTGTAAAGTAGTCCATCAGATCAGGCCGGAAATTACGTTTAGAAATGCATGAGCACGTTATTCAGGATTTCGAGCGTAACCCATATTGATGTTATACATTGTGAACTCCAAATGTCCCAACGTAATCACCTTTGTGTCCGTTAGCTTCATATTCATTGCCATTATGTTATGGTTTGAACGCTTAAAATGGATCTTTTCCCTATCAAGGCGGTGAGTTAAACGCATCCAATATAGGCCAGCAATTTGTTGAAAAATCGTGCTTTTTTACCTTCAAGCATGCAATTTGACACGCTGTGAGGAATGGAATTCTAAGCAAATGTGAATATAGGGGCATTCGTGAAAATGATCACCAAAGTGCCCTTTAAGGAAAATATTTCTGGTATGTACTCTTTAAATGATTTAGGTATTATCTAATGACAAGCAAATGACACAGTGTGAATGAAGTGTTAAAAACTGCTTCTTTAATAATATGAAGCCCAAAAGAGCCGCCTTAAGTAAAGCAGCAATTCGTAAGCTCAAATTTTCCAGCGGTATGGTGAATTCATTATATACTTATACTAGTAGCCTCAAGCATGAAATTTGACTTAGCTGTGGAAAATTGTATTCTTACCAATTTTGGATATAGATGCATGTCTGAAAATTCCAATATGGCCGCCAAAATTATTTTCAAAGTAAAACTTATTCTGCAAATTCCTTTAATAACATTTTTATATTCTTAAATGTTAAGAACATACAACAATATAAATGTTTGATCAAAAGCCCCCTCCCCCCCCCCCCCAGTTACTTGGAAATCTGAAATGGCTGTCAGAGGTGAAACAGCACTCATTTCGATCAAGTTGTGACCACCACTTGCAGTAATTTAATACTTGCCACAAAAAATGAAAAATATGAAGGGGTTTTCACAAATTACATATTATTCGTATCAACAAAAATATATTTTGACATGCAGCAGTAGTTTTGCACATTAACTCGATTCCGTTACTCGCCCTTAAACGCCCCATATAATACATTGTAGCCTCTAGGTGATATCGCTATTCGCAATACGCGATGCTTTCGAGATACGGAGCCCAGATCTCTCAACCAAAGAAATGAACATAAAGATCAGTCTGTAAGTAGCTTATCTTTGTAATAATGTATCATCGCCGTTGTGTTACATGTTAGGAAAGTAACCTAGCCCTTGTGTCACCTGCAGTAGGTGGCCCAAAACGGTGCAAGAAGATATACAGCTAGCAGTAAAAGTCGGAGCAATTGACTGCCTTAATTGCTGTCGGGGAGCTTGTGCAGGGCCGCAGTTGTAAGCTTTGGCCAACCCTGTATTATTTGCTTTGATTTCATCACAATCTGACAGTACAGAGATATTCATAGAATTAGCCAGAGAAAAATAAGGGACCGGTCGCATGAAAAATCTATTTTCTAAAAATCTAAAAATCTATTTTCGGTATCTTGTGATCACGGTCTGTGCCCTGAATACCCCACGGCGTAATTACTGGCAGCGCGAGCCAGTTACTTCCAAAGCAGTAATTAGTTCTCGGCGCTGACAGTAATTACGCCGCGGGGTGTCTAGGGCACAGACCGAGATCACAAGATATCGAAAATAGATTTTTAGATTTTTAGAAAATAGATTTTCCATGTGAACGCAGCCTAAGTGAATGTCTAGTGACAAAACAATATGTGGCCCTGGTAGAGGGTATGTTACCAATGGAAGTGATACTACACGGTACAAAACAATGAATATAACGTGAGTATTTTAAGATAACCTTCAATAATATTTTTAATGAGTGTAATAGTCTTAAACACATCAAAGCTGTCCGTGTGACTTATTTCTGAAACGAGACGAAAACGTCTGATGCTTGTGCTAACACATACCCTCTCTCGCAGAGTCTCAGTAATTGCCATCAATATATTTTATCTTTTGATAAGGTGTGGTAATCTACGTTTATCTTACTGAATGGATGTTTCGAACTTTTGGCTGGAGATATGGTTACCTCGTACTTGCTGGTATTTTCCTTTTTTCTGGTAAGTACTAGTACTCAATTGGTGCAAAAAAAAAAAAAGAAAAAAAAAAGAAAGAAAGAAAGAAAGAAAGAAAGAAAACCGTTCACTTTAGATCAGTTTGATGACCAAACTTTTCATAGCTGTAGAAATACTACATGTAGTAGGCCTTCCGTCTTACCCTCTCCAGTTTGAGAAATACATTTACAAATATTCATCTTACAAAGGTATTTGATGAAGTTCACAAGTTCGGTGCGATATCTTATTTTTTTCACTTGCGAACCAAATTTATCATATTTAATCACCCAGCATATACAGATGTAAATGTTTTTGGCACCTACAGATTTATGATTTTACAATCCCATTAATTACATGTATTCCTTTAAGTGTTGCTTCCTCTTGGATGGTTTGAAAACCCTGAATGTCGAGCAGGACCAGAAGAAGATGACAAAAAGGACAATGTTTTTGGGAGTGGCCAGCAAGTTTTCATTCAGACGATATGGTTTCTTTGCAATGTTGCAAACGGAGTAGGACATGTTAATTCGACTGGAATTTTGGTAAAATCATTTAACATTTAAATGTGCCAAAGGTACCATGACGTCATTTCTAAACGCGATAATGTGTGAGAATGAGTATGTGAATTCTTTACTTTTGTTTGAAGAACAAATGGGACCGTACAACGGGTTGCTGGAAAAAAACGAAATAAAAATATTTTGTTGGGGTCCACAACAATTTGATATTTTCCACAACCATTTAATGACGAGAAAAAACTACAAAAAAACTAATACCGCTCAAGTACTAGTACATGTACGTTTTCCGATCTCCGAACTTAGGAATGCCATAAAGAACGGTGACGTGTTTCCTGGATTTCAATTTTGACTAAAAAACTATTTCTCAGTTGGGAGTACTGGTTTTGAAACTTAAGAGGATGCAACTCGTCTAATCTCTGAAGTACCTGTTTGCTGTGTATATAATAATATAATCATCGTCTAAGAAACTCGGTTTTCATTTTACAGTTTTTCAAATGTGCATTTGTATACATTTCAAATTTAGATAACTAATATAGTTGATTTAAATACAGATGAAGCACTTAGAAGACCTGGGTTTACCGTCTTATATCGCTGTTCGGTTCATGGCTACAGAGGGAGTTTGCAATTTCCTAAGTCGTTTAGCTATGACCCTGATCGGTGACCGTGTGAAGGGACATATATTACAGATACACGCAGTTTTGGCGTTAATCTTGTCAGCAAACATGGTTCTGGGATATGCTGCCACCACACCTACAGCATTTATACCGTATAGTATAGGTATATTTTGATAAGAGAGAAAGATCTGATTTAAAAATTAATTGGATTATAATCAAATAAGTGAAATAAGACGTTTTACAAGCAAAGTGTTTTTTTTTTTTACATTTTGTTCAAGTGCAATGTATAATGAGTTTATCTTATAGATATTTTACGAAGTAGAGTTGAGAGGATGAACATTACACTAACAAACTTTTATAATCTTTTTACTTAGATCTGCTTGTATTTATGTACATGTAACACCCACATGCATGTATAACCTTTTTTGTTTTGATATCAGTGCTAGGTTCACATGTTTATCGAATTGTAGTGATGTTCAAAACTCAAAAATATTAAATCTCAGTGACAGTTCCCTCAAGATGTCCTTGTGATAAAGGACGAAAGTGTCCAGTATGGTGTTTTTATACATATAAAAATGTTTGCCTTTTCAGTTCTAGGTTTAAGCCAGGGTCCATTTTTCTCTGCTATGTATGCATCATGTGGAGAAGTAATGTCTGGACAAAACGTACACGACATATATATAGTATGTGATGTTGCATTATACGTCGGAATGGCCACAGCACCATATCTCTCAGGTATGGCCTTGAAACTAAGAGTCAGTTTTCGTAAATGATTTTAATTGTTGTATGACTGAGAATCAACCATGGCCACAGCACCATATCTCTCAGGTATGGCCTTGAAACTAAGAGTCAGTTTTCGTAAATTATTTTAACGTTTTTAATTGTCGATTGCCTGAGAATCAGCCATTTGTTTTTGTTTGCTTAATTAGGGTACATGTAATTTAGTTGAAGAACTGATGTCACAGCGACACTAATGAGATAATTTAAAGTTTTAAGACATTCTTGTTTTCATTTATCAGTCAGAAAAATAGGAAAATCGAAGGAAAATGATTTGGGAAAATGCCAAATTGACTGTCAAGCCTGTATTATCTATAACGAGCCCGCGCGTGCATGTTTGGGTTAGTGATCGTTTTAAATAGCAATATATGTATCCAAAACAGTGTACCCATGAAATCAAACGTTTTATTTTTTCCAGGTGCTATATACGACTGGCAGAAGTCCTACTCATTGGTATTTGTGATATTAGCGGTTGGGTATTTTATATGTGGTCTCACCTTGTTCATTATTGTAGGGATGAATAAATTTTCGGCGAAGACAAAACATTCTGAGATTATTCCTGTGCAGAGGTAAATGCGAGGCAGTAACTGGGGAACACTACTATCATTTTTCTAATATGAATCTTATCCAGATACTGTATTCAGTCAACCGCCTCAACAAGAACCTTGACCAAGACATGTGAAACATTTCAAATGACTGCTCAGTGCTCGAAGCAAATGTAGCCAAGTGCTCAAAAAATGACAAAGTATGCAAAACTATGCATTTCTGGTATACTTGAAATCATTGAAAGTTTTACATTATAGAGGGGATTCTGACGGTATAAAAATATTGAATAACAGTATCATTTACCTTATAAATTTCTTGCTGTATGTTTATTTTTCTCCAAATGCATTCCTATATAAAGCAATAAAAATGTTATGGAAAACAAATCCTGAAGCTGTGGTTTGGTTATCAATTGCAAAAGCAAAATATCAACGAATGCTTGTGAAGTGTAAGTCAAACGTTCAAGTACAGGCAATCGCTTTAGTGTTCTTCTAGTCCTTTGATTACTTTTTAAATCAGAAAAGAAAATTGCGGTATATTTATGAATAAGTATTTATGTTTTTATTTGTTTTCAACTATGAGGTACAAGTCTTTGATATGAGGTATTACCGGCACATAACCCTAAGCGTCTCAGCGTTTAATCAAGCGAGCGCTACTACACACACTGGACAATATTAATAGAAGTGTCACCCCCTGAATCAGAGTAATCAAAGTTATTAACCTGAAGAGGCGGAATATAAGTAATGTCAGAATATCGATACGGTTGAATTGTTCAGTCAGAACCGTTTCTTTTGTGAAATTTGATGTTAATAGATTGATACCAGGAGCATATCATTCTACAGTCATTCATCTCCCCCAAAGAATTGGTTCAGTAGGGGTGACACTTGTATTGTCCAGTGTGTGTACTTCACCTCACTCTACTTTTACGCATAGTGCTCTCTAGCGAATACGATTGTCATTACAACCTCACGCCGTTTTTCAATTTTTGATCGTGTTAAACTTTTTGGATTTGGCAGTTACCTCCTGTAGGGATTTTTGGGGATTTTGCCGTCTGATTGACGCATCGTTGACCTTACCAGGAGCGTACCCGTAACTTTGTTCTATTCTTTTAATTGGCACGTTTTATTACTAAAATCGGCTTAGATCAAGGAGACATAAACTCCTTTTTTGAAAGTACAGAAATACAATGTCTGCATGTATTGATAATAAGCCAGATGATCATTGATGTCCTTATAATAAGGAGGGACAGGCGTCGAAAACGAGAAGGGCTGACTGAAACAACAGAATATTTGAACATGTTTTCAACAGACGCATTACGCAAAAACTGCCACAAGAATTGCATCCTAAAAAACAAAAAGCAAAATATTCGTTGGCCTACTACATGTATTATTGCATTGATTTTTACTAGGCTAGCGTGTTGATATGGTCACCTGATGGAAATCGCTGTAGAAGTGAACAACTATAAGAATATTTCTAAAGATTATGTTTGAATTTGCAGTATGTTCTCAACAGTGTATGTTTATTAAAGTCTAACAATGTACTTAATTATGTGGCTCTTAAAAGTAAACAGACATCGTACTCCATGTTTCTCATCATCTAATACACAATTGTACTTATCAAATCTAATATAAATCTAATATAAAGCAACCATAATGTATTGATGAATCGATATAGACGGACTGTACACGCCGGAAGTCTTTCAGATTTGCCTGCGCTTCGTGCGCATGAGCAGAACGGATGGTTCACGCTCCGAATGATTCATGCCACACCGGTATACATGTAAACGCTGTACAAATTAAGGCCACAAGTCCATGTCCAAGTTGCTGTTGACAAATTCGTTGTTATCCTTTTAAATGCCACCAACGTTTGATAATTAACTGCTGTTAGTTTTCATAGGCGTGGTTCGCACTCTTGCAGAATCAATCGACACGTTTTGTAATTGGAAATGAGTGTCTTGTTAGAGATAGTTTTGCTAGGCAAAGCGCTTTCTCCTGGTAAATTGGTCATTGGACGAAATGATGCTAGTACGCTTAGGAAGTGTCGGAAACAGTGAAACCTTTAATTACGCATAAAAGACAATTGGGGCCAACTTTGGTCATTGCGGTATCCCTTTGCAGAACTAATTCGAGCAAAGCTTACGACTGAGTTTAGATTATATGGGCATTTATCAGTTTTAAAATGGCTTTAGTGGAGAATAATGCAAAAAATAACACTTTTACAATATCAAAATCTCAGAAAAAAAATATATATTTTAAGTTCATCGCCAAACACGCCTAGTATATAAATTTTACAAAATGTAAGCCCGCCGGTCCCAAGTATTATATTGTAAGTGTCGTAATCTTCCCACAGGGTTATGTTGGAGAAATTACACGACATCCACACGTAATGTAAACCTGTTTGCTGTACCCCGCAGCTACTTGCGATATTAAAAAGAGTGTACGGAAAATCGTATGTTTTCATCGTGCGTGCCCAGACAAATACTTATCAATTTTGACAACTCCGTAATGCAGGGTCGCCTTGCGGTGTTGTACGATAACCACAAGTCCGCCTTATATTGCCCATGTGCAATTGTGCAATGTTACTTCGATATTGCTGATGCCTACCGGCTTACGAATTAAAAAAGTCAAAAGTTTCAGCTTGACAAAATCGTGGAGGCTACGGAGGCTGTACATCCGTACGATTCCGTACGTACTGGCTATCTCCGCTCAGGCGTCGCACTAAAAGATATTTATGGGCAGTGTACGTGCAACACACAGACATCGCATGGCAAATCTAATCTTAACTTGATGTAGCTAAAAAAATTACTCGAACGGCACAGAGATACTAGTAGGTTATATTATGCAAATAATTTATAGTGCTTGTGTTATACAAGTATTTTAGGAAAGAAATCTAAACGTCAATTGGGACTTTTGGAGGACTTTTTAATACGCCTGTCAGTGCTGTTGTACCCTGTAACGTGCACATCTACATGTAGCATGTATTATGGATGGAAGTTCGTACTTGCTACAGTCATGTGTTATATGACTTTTAGTGGATATCAGATGAGCTGGGGTGTGTTCAACGCTGCTTTTGCCGAGGATCCTGTCTTAGGAGGAAGTCTTTCTACAATAGGTACATGTATATGTAATATTGTGGTTATTGAACACAAGCTAGAGTACGTGTATATCACCGCTCTTAGCTAGCTTACGGCCAACTTAACTCAATGATCGGCCTTGAATGCTCTATGTACCCATTACAGAAAGTTAACAGCCAATCTGGTCTGACTTATGTGACCCTCACTTACCGCTATATAAAGCTAAGAATCTGATGGATATTTAGGTCAAAAGGTTAATAGTAAACAAAGGTAGAGGTAAAATGTTTCTGTCTTATAGTTTTACTTTGATACATTTATATTGATTTTTCTTAGTATAATGAGTGGCGATGTGACAATAAGCGGTGAAATAGGCAGATACAATCGTCATTATTTATCAAATCTTCAATCTTTTTCATGATTTCAGGTCTCATTCAAAGCATGCTGTTCACCTCGGCCGCTTTTGGATGTTTATTCACTGAAAATTTTTCTGTGCTCCAACCGAAAATTAGAATCATAACGTTTATGTCTGTCTTAGTCCTCGGATTAGCTCTGTCGTCCATGGCGCCATCAGTGACATTTCTTATATTTACACACGGCATCATGACTGGATTTTCCATTGCTATCATAAGACTGGTTTACACCTTCAGGATAGCGGAATGGTTTCCTTGGGATCACAGATATCATGTTTTGGCTACAAGTTTTGGTCGCCTTGTAATGATTGCTGGCAAGTAATTCACTTATTTTTGTCGCGTATCTTGTCGTGGATTGTGCTGTCATTTTAATAAATATCAATATCTCACCAACTTTAAGTAACATAACTAACCAACATAGCTAAGACATTTTGAAATTTATTTTTCAGAAAAAAAGTCAAATTTGAAATTACGGCAGCGCTTTGCTTTTACTACGGTTATGATAATTTCTCCACATTTCATTATAACAGTATTTATATCTCTTGATGTCTTTATATATATATATATATATATATATATATATATATATATATATATATATATATATATATATATAATTATGGGTTCTGTAGTATTTATAAATCTTTAAAAAATATAGCTTTTAAAAACAATAAAAAGCGGGCTTCGGTGATACATGTATAAACAACATTAATATTTTTAATAGGCACTGCCCTCTATGCTAACCTTATTGAATGGCTGTTTCGAACGCTTGGCTGGAGATATGGCTACCTTGTACTCGCCGGTATTTTTCTTGTTTCTGGTAGGTACAAACTTTGCTATAAATTAAACACAGTCACATGTATATTATGTATGTATATTTCCATTTGACAGAAGAAAGAAGCTATCTTCATTTAAGAAATTCTAAGTAGTAGGCCTACTGCCATATTTTGCCTCTAGGAGAAAATGTCGCTATCTACATCGTTTAACTTAAGTTGCATCTAGATTGTCAACAAAATTATAATTGGTATGATTTTGCAATTTCTTTAATGACAAGTATTTTATAGTGTTATTACCACTTGGATGGTTCCAAAGTCCTGGTACTCAAGCAGGACCAGCAAATCAAGAAGCAGACGAGAAAGTTTTTGGAAGTGTCCAGCGGGTTTCCATCCTGTCAATGTGGTTTCTCAGTAATGTTGCAAACGGAATTGGACATAGCAACTCAACCGGAATTTTGGTAAAAATGCTGGAAACTTTGCACTGTCAAAATTTTGGGGTCAAAGTTTTCTTGTCAAATTAAGTGCGACTTTTTCTTAAAAGTCTTAGTTAAGATTTTATCTTTGATAAAGCAAAATAATGCCTATGTTTGATGAAAAGCTGTAATTGGGGACTTATAACTCAATGTAATAAATAAAACATTTAAACCAAAATGACGGCACAAGATTATATCGAGGTCATCTCTGCCAATTTTCGTGACAATATCTTGTTCAGGATTGAAGTAGCGCCCCATGTCGATTGCTATCTAACATGAAAATAGAACGGTCTTAAATTACACGT